AAGCCCAGATGGAAAACAGGCCACATTATTCAGAAACATAAAGGCTTTCAGGGAGAAAAGGCACATGAACCACAGCCACCCACTCGGTACCACCTCCTTCCTAGCCAGCCCCTTCCTCATTCCACTGTACCCTACCTTGGCTGGGCTGCCGGCCTGCAGTTTCTCTTGATAAGTTCCCTTTACCAGCTTCCCTGAGGGAGTTTTTTGCAGTGGTCGGGGCCCACACTGTTATCTTTTAAAGCATCACTATTTAGGGAGATCCCTGCATCATCATGGCCAGGGGGCCTCCTAAAAACAAAACAAAACAAAAACCACAGTTGCCACTGCATTGACTCAGACTCATGGTGACCCCATGTGTCTGGAAGGGGGAGCAGTCTTGTGGAATTAATTGCCTGCTGACTGAAGTCCTCCTCACAGGATCCCCACACGGGACAGTTGGTGGATAGACTCTGCTTCCAGTACTGTGACCTGAACAAGCCACTTCACCTCTCTGAGAGTATATAAAGAGACAACATGATACCCTAGGAGACCACTAATGTCTAGGAGAAGCAGGATGCAGGAAGGTGTCAGTCACCCAGAATGCTTTTGCTGGGAGTATAGACTATGTCCTGGGATGTGTTGGAGAGAGACAAAAGTTGTCAGAAAGCCATCCCAAGGTGGGCCAGAATCAGCTACGAGCCCAGAGCTTTGCCCTTTCCCCACTGCAGCTGCCCCAATTCTGTGTTCAGGTTCCCCCTTCCATCCTGCCAACTTCTAGGCACATTAAAGTAACATAACTGGCCTGTTGCAGTTATTGCTTAGGAGGCTGTTCTAGGGGCCACTATGGGAGAGAAGGAGAGAGAGGAGAGGACTGGGCTTGCTCAGGGTCCCACCCGTAGCCTGGCAGTGGGCTGTGGAGCTCTGGGCTGGCCTGCTCTTCCCACCCAGTGTGGTGGTTACAAATGTGCAGGGGTCAGCACACTGGCTTTGATGAACCCTGGCTCTGCCACTCCACTGTGGGACTGTCCCAAATGTCTATTGTGCTTAAGCAAATTACTCCAAAACTTAGTGGTTAGAACAATACCAGTATTTCTTTTACTTACCCACCTGCAGTTTGGGTAGGGCTAGTGGGAATAGCTTATCTCTGCTTCACTCAATGTCAGCTGATTTGTCTACAGGCTGGGCTGGACTCTTGGAAAGGTTTGTGCCCCACAAATCTCATAGCTGATGCCAGGCTCCTCAGGCATTTCTCTCCAAGTGGCCTCTCCCCACAGTCTCTTTGAGGTGGCTTTAAGGTGGCTGAACTTCTTTTGTGTCAGCTCAGAGCTCCCAGGGTACCTGCTACAGACAGAGACAGACAGACAGAACTAGGGAGAAAGATAAGACAGAGAAACAGAGAGAGATGGACAGACAGGGGCACAGAGAGACAGAAACAGAGAGAATGACACACACAGAGAGACAAATGGAGGAGAAAGTGTGAGAGACAGACATGGAGAGAGAAAGATAAAGAGACAGACAGACACATACACACAGAGACAGAGACAGAGAGAGAGTGAGAATGGTAGCCAAGAGGAACCCATGTGGCCTGTTCAGACCTGGCCTCAGGAGTCACACAGGACTGCCCACACTCAAGGGGAGGGAAATTCATCAGTCCTTTGTGAGAGGAGTGTCAAGGAGCTTGTTTTAAAATCATAGTAACCTCGGCCAGGTGACTTCTTTCTCTATGCTTCAGGGTCTTCAGCTATGAAATTCTGTTAAAAATGGCCTCCCTTCATTGCTATATTAGTTTTCTGGAGCAGCTGTCACAAAATCATAAACTTAGTGATTTAAAACAACACACGTTGTTATCGTACAAATCAAAAAACCAAAACTCACTGCCTTTGAGTGAATGCTGACTCATAGTGACCCTATAGGACAGAGTAGAACTGCCCCTTAGGGTTTCCAAGGTTGTAAATCCTTTTTTTTTTTTTTTTTTTTTTGTGATTTGGGTGTAAGTTTACAGGGAAAATTCATTTTCCACTCAACAATTCGTACACATTTTGATTGCAATCCCCAGAATGTAACAGCTCTCTTCCTGCTCTCTTCCCATGGTTACTTTTCCCCTCTGCTGCTTTCCTATGCATTCCTGTCCTCTGAGCTATCTCCCTGTGCAAATGCTGCCCTTCTGATCTCCCATGGGTGATTGTTCTAAGGAGTGTATCTACATGGTATAATTGTTCACTTTGTAGGTCTGTCTATTGTTTGGCTGAAAGTTAAGCCATGGGAGTGAACTTAATTCCAGGCCCTAATGGGAGCTCTGGTAGCATAGTGGCTAAGACACTTGCCTGCTAACCAGACGGCTGGCGGTTCAAACCCACCAGCCACTCCTCGGAAGGAAGGTTGGGCAATCCTACTTCCGTAGTGATACTGCCTCGGAAACCCAAGGAGGGGTCGCTATGAGTCGGGGCCGACTCGACGGCACATAACAACAACAACAAGGGTGACTAGGGGCCATAGTCTTGACGGTTTCACCAGTTTATCTATATCAGACCAGTAAATCTGGTCTTTTTTTTTTTTTTACTGATTTTGAGTTTTGTTCCACATTTTTCTCCCACTCTATCCAGGATCTCCTATTTTGATCCTTTTCCTAATGGTTGGAAGTGGTAGCTGGGCACCATCTAATTCTTCTGGTCTCAGGGTCACGTAGGCTGAGGTGCCCATGGTCCACTAGTCCCTTGGACTAATTGTTGCCATGTGTCTTTAATTTTCTTCATTCTTCTTTGCTCTGGATGAGGAGAGACCAATTGTTGCATCTTAGATGGCCACTCGAGCTTTTAAGACCCCAGTTGCCACTCACCAAAGTTGGATGCAGAACAATATTTTTGGATAGTAAAAACAAAAACACCAAGCTCACTGTTGTTAAGTCAATTTTGACTCATAGTGACCCCTCCTTGGGTTTCTGAGGTGGTATCACTGTGGAACTAGATTGCCCAACCTTCCTTCCGAGGAGTGGCTGGTGGGTTTGGAATGCCAGCCTTCTGGTTAGCAGTCAAATGCCTTAGGCACTATGCCAATTGAGCTTGATGTCCCCTGTGACCATGGTCCAGAGCCCATGGGCTCAGTGACTCACTCCCTCAAGGTGTTTGGCTGTGGCTAAGAAGTTATCATAACTTTACCTCCCTTTTTGCTCTGTCATGTGTATGACATGTTTGTAGAAATATTGTCTGCTAAACTTATATGTGGTCATGGATATATTCCCTTTTGCCTAGCCATACCAGATCATTTAGCCTGTCTACCTATGTATCCATCTGTAGATTAATGTTTATTACTGATCATGCAGTATTGTGTATGTAAAAGTGTTTGCCTTTGTTGTTGGTACCTCTTATGCACCTCTCCGTGTCTTCCTTTTCCTTAGTGTTATTCTGTTGGTCACTCACTTTTGGTATATTGCCTTTCCTTTCACCCAAATTCAAGGTTGGAAATCTTTGAGAAGCAGATTACCTCATTTTTCTCCCATGGAGTGGCTGGGGGTTTCAAACCGTCGACTTTTTGGTTAGCAGCCAAATGCCTTAACCACTGCACCACCAGATCTCCTTAATTTTCATACATGTCCGTCAGGAGTCCAACATGGGTCTCACAGACTAAAATCAAAGTGTTGACAGGGCTGGGTTCCTTCTGGCGCTGCGAGGAGAGACTTTATTTCCTTGCCTTTTTCATCTTCTAGAGGCTGCCCATTGGTAGCTTAGTGCCTAAGGCACTTGACTGCTAACCAGAAGGCTGGCAGTTCAAACCCACCAGCCACTCCTTGGAAGGAAGATGGGGCAATCTACTTCCGTAGTGATATTGCCTCGGAAACCCAAGGAGGGCTCACTATGAGTCGGGTCCCACTCAACGGCACATAACAACAACAGAAACTGCCCACATTCTTTAGTTTACAGCCCCTCCCTTTTTCTTCAAAACCAGTAACAGCAGGTGGAGTTCTTCTCATGTCTGTTCATTCCAGCCTCCCTCCTCCTCATATAAGGAACTGTGGGATTTCACTGGGCCCGCTCAAATAATCCAGGATAATCAGCTGATTAGCAACCTTAGTGGTGCCACAATGATTAAGTGCTTGGCTGCTAACTGAAAGGTCAGCTGTTTGAAACCACTTCATGGGCACGCACTTTGGGGCACTTCAAGGCACGCAGCTGCACATTCCTCAGTGGTCCAGTCCTCTAAGGACCCCCAGTGGCCCCAAGTCAAATATTTGGCCCCGAAGACACACTGTCTTCCTCATTGTTCTGAGAGGCTGAGTGCTTGTGAGAGAAAGGGTTGTCTTTGCTTGGGCTTCCATGGAAGCAAACCCTAAAACAAGGACCTGAGTGGAAGAACTGTGAGCAGTGACCCTAGGAGAGTGAGAGACAGGGAAAGAAAGGTACCCAGTAAAGCATTTTTGTTTGTTTGTTTGTTTCTTTTTTTTTAAATGAAATCAGTTAACCAGTGGGTTAAAACAAACAGTTTGAACCTGCTCTGTCGGAGAAAAGACCTGGTGAGCTGCTTCTGTAAAGATTACAGCCTAGGAAACCTATGGGGGCAGTTCTACTGTGTGCTGTAGGGTTGCTATGAGTTGGAATCAACTCAACAATATCCACCTGAAACCTTAATTCCCCTTTGCCATGTAATCTAGCATATTCACAGGTTCTAGAGATTAGGATGTGGACATCTTTGGTGGGGGTTGTCTACGACAGTGAGGTTGTTGAGATGATTAAATGACGTCATGGTAAGTGTTCTGTGGGGGCCATTGCTATTACACATCTAAGGGGGCCGTGATAGGCCTTTTGCACAGATCCAAAATTGCTGAGTGTAAGACAGGATGTGTTCCAATTTCTGTACTGTATGGATGATATGTTTGAAGCCCACAGAGGGACAGTGATTTGCCCTGCATCACACAGCAAGTAATTTGAGGAGGGCTGTTCCTGATAGTCCTGTGACCACACTGCACTGTCCACCCAGAGACCCCGGGTGACACATGGGGGCACGCATTTTCCTGTTTTCCTGGCCAGATCCTACAGCTCCTGAAAGGCAAGCTGGTGGTGGGCCATGACCTGAAGCATGACTTCAAGGCGCTGAAAGAGGACATGAGCAGGTACAATATCTACGACACATCCACTGACTTGCTGCTGAGGCACCAGGCCAACCTGGACCACTGCAAACGGGTCTCCCTCCGGGTGCTGAGTGAACGCCTTCTCAAGAGACGCATCCAGGTGCGTACCTGCCCCTCCCCTCCCAGGCCAGGCCATCCAGAACTGCCTGGGCCAGTAGCGCCCAGCAGGACACGCAGCTGCACATTCCTCAGCAGTCCAGTCCTCTAAGAACCCCCAGTGGCCCCAGGGCAAATATTTGGCCCCAAAGACACACTGTCTTCCTCATTCTCCTGAGAGGCTGAGTGCTTGTGAGAGAGGGGGTTGTCTTTGCTTGGGCTTCCCCCAGAAGCAAACTCCGAGACAAAGATCTGGGTGGAAGAACTGTGAGCAGTGACCCCAGGAGAGTGAGGGTGAGAAGCAGGGAAGGGAAGGTACCCAGTACAAGATTTTGTTTGTTTGTTTGCTTTTTAAATGAAATCAGTTACCCAGTGGGTTAAAACAAACAAAAAACAACCAGTTGCTGTGGAGCCAATTCTGACTCATGGCGACCCTTTGTGTGTCAGAGTAAAACTGCACCACAGCCATTGAAAACTCTATGGTTTCAATGACACACATGGGGTCACCATGAGTCAGAATTAGCTCCATGGCAACTTTTCAGTTTTTGCTTTAGATCTTTCAGAAGTAGATCTCCAGGCCTTTCTTCTGAGGTGTTTCTGGGTAGATTTGAAGAGCCAACCTTTTGGTTAATAGCTAAGTACTTAACCATTTGTGCCACCCAGGGACTACCCAGTAGATTACTGGAGTTTAATCCCATTGGGGATCTCTGGAAAATGGTGTAAATCACACACCTTGGATTTATCCCACCAGAGGGTCCAGGAGGCTGGTGTATTTATATACCAACTCCCATCAGCCACTGGTTGAACCCTGCTCCTGGAGGCCTAACTCCTCAGCACTGCAAGACTTCTGGCAGAAAAGGCTTCAGCAAAGCCCCTGGGGCAAAGGAATGTAGTAGTTGGTCTCTCTGTGGGAGACAGGGCAGAAAACTAAACCCACTGCCAGAGTCAATTCTGACTCATAGCAACCCTATCAGGCAGAGTAGAACTGCCCCACAGAGTTTCCAAAGCTGTAAATCTTTATGGAAGCAGACTGCTTCATCTTTCTCCCACAGAGCAGCTGATGGCTTCAAACTACTGACCTTTTGATTAGCAGCCAGATGCTTAACCACTGTGCTACCAGAGCTCCTTGCTGCCTCAGGTGGGGAGCTTTCAGACCAACAGGTTGGGCAATCTACTTTCATAGTGATACTACCTCAGAAACCCAAGGAGGGGTCACTATGAGTCACATCCAACTTGACGGCAGTGAGACTCTACAGGGTTTGCTGCTAAACAGAAGGCTGGTGGTACAAACTCACCAGCCACTCCTCAGAAGGAAGATTGGACAATCTGCTTCTGTAGTGATACTGCCTCGGAAACCCTAGGAGGGGTTGCTATGAGTCAGATCCAACTCGACGGCAGTGAGTTTTTTTCTACAGGGTTGCTATGAGTCAAAATCATCTTGATGGCAATGGGTTTGATTTGGAATCCCTGGTGGCACAAAGGGTAAACACTTGAGCACTAGCCAAAAGATAGGTGGTTTGAACCCACCCAGAGGCACCTTGAAAGACAGTTCTGGTGATCTGCTTCCTAAAGCTTACGGCCTTGAAACCCTATGGAGCAGTTCTACTCTGCACACTTGGGGTCACCATGAGTTGGAATCAACTGGATGGCAACTAACAACAAACCTGTGCTAGACTATGGGACAGATGCTGGGGACAGAGGTGAGCAAGACCCGGCCCTTCCTGTCCTTGAGGTTGTCCTTGGTTGAATGAGAAGGCCTATAACCAGATTATCACTAACCACTATGGAACTGTTTGATGTCAGGAAGGGTCTTGAGGCAGGGACAAAAGACAGAGTGGCAGGGGAGGAGGCTTGATTTGAACTGAGTTTGAAGAAGGAATCTTGGTCAAGATAATAGCAGAGAGCCTCCCATGAAGAAGGGAGAATATGAGCAGAACTTTGAAGAGAAATCTATCCTAGCCAGGCACCTGGGAGCAGGGATGGTATGGAGCCAGGGAATGAAGGAGCTGGAGCCAAGGCCTCTCTCTCCTAGCCTTTTGGCACATAAGGACCACTTTGGGCTTTTCTCAGAGCCCTTGTCACTCCATGACTGTCAGTCTGGGGCCTAGTTCTGGGGGCTTTGAGCCAGACCAAAGGTCCCTCTTTGGCCTGGGCCCCCTCTCAGGCTCTGTCCTTTCACCCCTGAGTTGGGGTTCCCAGCCCTGCCCCAACAAGTTCTGCCTGCATCGATGCCCCTAGACACCTGCCCCAGCCCTTTGCATGTGGTCAGTAGTACTGCTTGTTCTTGGAGCCAGAACACATCCTTGTGACACAGGAGCTAATGTGGGGCAGTGTTACCTCTAGGGCCTGCCTCCCTTGGGAGGCAACAAGATGGTGGCCCTGTGGGCTCTGGCTCCAAGCTGCCCATGTGGTGGATCACATCACATAGGGAAAGGAAAGTGCCTTACTACAGTCAACAAATCCTTGAGGAACTGAACTTGGCTTGCTCTCATTCAATCTTCTAAGGAAGATCTGATCAGGTGCATTTTACAGAAGAGGAAAATGAGGCCCAGAGAGGAATGGTGGCTTGCCTGCCCACATTCACAGAGCTTGTAAGAGGGGAATTGGGACTTGAACTTGAGTCTGATTCCGAATCCTGAGCTCTTTCTAGCCCCTCTCCATCCTCCCTTCCCATCCCCACTGGTGAGCAGAGAAGGGAGCTCATGCCATCTTCTGCTTCTGGCAGTTCCTTCTGATTCAGTCCTCAGCTTCCTTCTCTGTACAGCAGAGTGGATAAGAGCAGGTGGCCTCTCTGTGCCTCCGTTTCCTCATCTATAATAGCAAGGCAATAATAGAGGAGGATTCATGGAGACCCCACATGTAAAACACCTAGCATAGTGCCCAGTACATGGGGCAGGTGTCCTCCCACAAGCCAGCCAGGGCCACAACACTACCTTCTCACTTAATAATACAGAGTGATAATGGCAACGAGAAAAGAATCCCACCAGGTATCCCCAACACCCAATCTGGAGTGTCTGGAAGGGAAGCCCTTATGAGGAAAGGAAAGCCACTCTCAACAGAGGAATACCCAGAGAATGCAGCCAGGCCTGAACTGCCCCCAGTGGACCTCTGGACACAGCCCCATCCCAAGTCCCTACCCTGTACCTTTGTCTGCAGAACAGCCAGTTGGGACACAGCTCAGTGGAAGATGCGAAGGCAACGATGGAGCTCTACCAAATCTCCCTGCGCATCCGGGCCTGCAGAGGGCAGCCCAGCCCGAATGTCTCACGCTGAAGCTCAATCCAGCCCTTTCAAAGGGACTAGAAGCCTTTATCTCTTCAAGGGTAGCGACTCTCTTGCTTTTGAAACTGCATCATTAGCAGTAAAATACCTTTATATTTTCTCTATTCAGTCACTGGATCTCTGCTTGTCTTCTGTTTTGTTCTCTCTGAGCCAGGTTAAAGATGGAGGGGACACAGTCTGCATCAGTGGCATCACTAGGGTTGATGTCGCCCAGTGTGCTAACTCATGGTGTTACCTCCCCTCCTCCAACATAGACTTCCTCCCATATCAGACCACAGAGAATCCTTAGTAATGTTTATTATCCATTTTAATCATAGAATAATTGTAATTTAATAGTTGTAAATTGTTTAAATGTAGTATTTCTTAGATTATATGAATACTAACAACAAAACTGTTTTGTAAAATCTTTCTACATTGAATTACATTATTGGTAACAGAGAAAAAAGCTGTTTTTAAATTTTTCTCATTCTTTTCCTTTAATTACTAATTCATTCTCAAAATAGTTGTTGATATGGGTTCACAAATAGTAATCACCCCACTATTATAGCTAAAGGCTTAGAAAATTTGACAAAATCAGCAACTATAAAAACACCGGCAGCAATGAAAACAATAGCGCGTGCTTGTAGTGCATGATTGTAGCACGTGTGGACGAAACCACATGAGTCAACGTATCACTGTAATTGGGTAATAATGATAGTTCTGACTCACTCACATTAGAAGGTTCAAAAAATAAATTAGCATAGTTTAGCCTTGGAGGTATACTGACACAAGTAAGCTAGACTTATGAAGAAATGTTTTTGTTGTTATAACTAACTACAGGAATACTTTGGTAAAAAATAATAAATTTCTGCTGAAACAATACACAACAATTTTGTAGACAGTCATTTTGGTGTGTCACCCCCTCTGACAGTTTTACACAGTGTGATCCACACCTCCCTAGTGACACTGCTGGCCTACATGATGCTGAGAGGGGAGCAAAGACTATGCCAAGGACATGGGGAAGTATCAGTTTCCTCAATATCATGAATCTTTTGTGTCTAAGAAGTGGCATGTGACATACTTAATACCCACTCCCTATGTCTCTCTTTTCCTGTTGCTTGTATGCGCAGAGTGGGGCAATATTTTCTGGAAGAGGCACCTGGCTTGGAGGTCTACTTATCTCATCTTTAGACTGGTACCAGGGCACTGATGAGTTTCCAATCAAAGGTACAGAAAGTGTGATGGGTGCCGCTGGATGTCCTTGAGCAAGTTACTCTTCCTCTCATTTGTAAAATGAGGAGGCAAAGGCAATGGACTCTGAAGTTAAGGAGAACCAGGTTGAAATCCTGGCTTTTCCATTTATTAGCTGTGTCACTTAGAGTGAGTTACCTAATATCTCTGTGCCTCAGTTTCTCCATCTGGAAAGTGAGGTTTATAACAAATGATAGCGTTATTGAGCAGTGTTGCTTGAAAAGCCCCTAGCACCATGCCTGTCATAGCACGTGTGTCAGAGTACAGCTCTGTTCTACAGGGTTTATTTATTTATGATTTTTTGTGTGTGATTTTGGTGAAAGTTTACAGAACAAATTCACTCTCTGTACAGCAGCTCACATACACTGTCTCATGACATTGACTGCAATTTCCCACAATGCAATAACTCCCTTCTCACTTCCTCCCCATAGTTCTCTCTTCCCAGTGTCCTTCCTTCCCATGTACTCCTGCCCCCCAATCTGTCTCCCTGTGCATACACAGCCCTTCTATTCTCCCATGATTGATCTCTCCAAAGAGCGGATCTACCTAATGTAAATGTTCAGCTCATATGCCTGTCTTTTGTTTGGCTGGAAGCCTCAGGAGTGGGTTCAGTTCCAGACTTGAAGGGCAGCTAGGGGCCATAGTCTCAATGGTTCCATCAGGCTCTATCAGACCAGCAAAACTGGTCCCCTCCCCCCCCCTTTTTTTTAATGATTTTGAGTTTTATTCCACATTGTTCTCCCACTCTATCCAGGATCTCCTACATAGATCCCCCTCCGAGTGGTTGACAGTGGTAGCCAGGCACCATCTAATTCTTCTGGTCTCATAGTTGTATAGGCTGAGAATCACGTGGTATACCAGTTGCTTGGACTAATTGTTTCCATGCATCTTTGGTTTTCTTCATTATTCTTTGTTCTGGATGAGGAGAGACCCATTGTTGCATCTAGATGGCTGCTTGCAAGCTTTTAAGATCCCAGTCACAACTCACCAAAGTAGGATGTGGAACAATATTTTTGTGTAGTGTGTTATGCCATTTGAGCTTGATGTCCCCTGCGACTATGGTCCTGAGCCCACAGGTCCAACTACTCACTCCCTCTAGGTAACTGGCTGTGGCCAAGAAGTGACTACAACCTTGTCCCTTGTCAGCTCTATTACCTGGACATTCTTACAGAGCATACCAATACACTTGTAGAGACATTCACTGCCAACCCTATACGTGGTCATGGGCACACTGCCCCCTGCATAGACATACCTGATCATTCTGCCTCTTCTACAGGGTTTTTAATGGCTGATTTTTCAGAAGTAGATTGCCAAGCCTTTCTTTCAAGGCACTTCAAAGTGGGCTTTTACCAACAATCTTCTGGTTAGTAGCTGAGCAAGTTAACCATTTGTTCCATCCAAGAGTACTTATGACTCCATCATAGCTTAAACCAAAAATCAAACCCACTGCCACTGAGTCAATTCTGACTCATAGCAACTCTTCAGGACAGAGCGGAACTGCCCCATAGGGTTTCCACGGCTGTCAATCCTTATAGAAGCAGACTGCCTCATCTTTCTCCCACAGAGCAGCTGGTGGGTTTGAATCACCAACCTTTTGGTTAGCAGCCAAATGCCTTCACCACTGTGCCACCAAAAGCCTTACCATAGCTTAAGCACCCAGCAAATGTTAATAACTAGTTCTTATTCCCTAGACCCCCTGCGGGCCTAGAGGTCCAGCACTATGTGGGTTGGGCACAGTGTGTGGGGGGAAAGATCTGCACCAGAATGTTCCTGCTCATTGCAATCAGCTGTTGTTTCACTCTGTGCCTAAGTCTCACTAACCCAGAATCTCAGGGATGGGACCTGGGCAGCTGCTAGGTTTGTTTTTTTTTTTAACTTTTGTGAGTGATTTTGATCCCTAAGCCATTGGAATCAATTCAGTTCTGTTTAAGCAAATATCCAAGCCCAGTGTTCTTACACTTGAGTGTGCATCAGAATCACCTGGAGGGATCCTTAAAGCACACAATCTGGACCCCACCCCTCTGCGTGTCTAGAGTGGAGAGCCCCAAAATGTGCATTTCTACCAAGTTTCCCTGTTGATGCTGATGCTGCTGGTCTAGGGACCACACTTTGAGAACCACGACTCACATGATTGCAATGTACAGCCACAGCTGAGAGCTACTGGCCAGAGGAGTCAGCACTCCCTTGGAGACTCTTGTCACAGTTCCAGCTTCTTTGCTATCTCCCTTGGCTGCTTATAAGAGAGAAGTGCCCAATCATGTGAGATGTGTCCTAAATAACTCCCCTGCATGGATGAAGGAAGCATGAGGGCCCCCAGGATTCATGTCCAGATTTGCCTGACCCAAAACTAGTAAAACCAATTGCAGTAGAGTCAATTCCGACTCATGACAACCCCCTGTAAGTCAAAGTAGAACTGTGCTCCATGGAGTTTTCAATGGCTGATATTGCAGAAGTAGATTGCCAGGCCTTTATTCCAAGGGTGGCTCTGGGTGGGCTCAAACCTCTAATCTTTTAGTTTGCAGCTGAGCAGTTTAACCATTTGTACCACCCAAGGGCTGTTCTTTTCATTTGTTGTTGTTATGTGCCGTCGAGTAGGGTTTCTGAGGCAGTATCACTACGGAAGTTAGATTGCCCCATCTTCCTTCCGAGGAGTGGCTGGTGGGTTTGAATCCCCAACCTTCTAGTTAGCAGTCAAAAGTGCCTTAGGCACTATGCTAACAGAGCACCATGGACTTCTGGGAACCCAGGGGGCTCTCTCCCACATCTGGAGGGGTAGGGTGAAGTACTTGCTGTCTCTCACCCTATCTCCTGCATCTTGAGGTAGTGATTCAGCTCTCTGCTCTTCTTAAATTTTTATGAACCTTCCAAGCTCCCCCTTTTTTTGTTTGTGTGTCCAAGCTACCAGCTATGTGCTCTCTAACTGTGAATGGCCACCAGGTGGTGCCCTTGGACCATCTGTCCACCTTAAGGCAACAAAGCCCACAGAATGCTTTGGGATGGAGTGTGAGGGATGGGGATATAATGGGGCTGTCTTCAAAACTGCCTAGGGGCAGTAGCATCACTGGGGGGGGGGGCACATGGGTGGGGAGTGGGAGGAGAGGTGTGGACCATACCAGGTGACACTGTCAGAGGGGGTGACACCAAAAAGTCTATAAATTTTTTGTGTGCAGTGTTGAAGCAGAAATGTATTTTAAAAAATAAAAGATCCCTAATAGTTACCCTTAGGAGCTCTGGTAGCATAGTGCCTAAGGCATTTGACTGCTAACCAGAAGGCTGGCGGTTCAAACCCACCAGCCACTCCTCAGAAGGAAGGTTGGGCATTCCTACTTCCGTAGTGATACTGCCTTGGAAACCCAAGGAGGGGTCGCTATGAGTCGGGTCTGACTCAACGGCACATAACAACAACAACATAGTTAAGGGAGCTCTAGTAGCATAGTGCCTAAGGCACTTGACCTCTAACCAGAAGGCTGGCGGTTCAAACTCAGCAGTCACTACTTAGAAGGAAGGTTGGGCAATCTACTTTCTTAGTGATACCGCCTCGGAAACCCAAGGAGGGGTCACTATGAGTCGGGTCTGACTCCATGGCAAATAACAACAACTGTTGTTGTTGTTGTTGTTATGTGCCGTCGAGTCGGCCCTGACTCGTAGCGACCCCTCCTTGGGTTTCCGAGGCAGTATCACTATGGAAGTAGGATTGCCCAACCTTTCTTCCGAGGAGTGGCTGGTGGGTTTGAACCGCCAGCCGTCTGGTTAGCAGGCAA